GGATCAAGTGAAACCCTACACTTCATCTTCTCTACCATTGGGGTGTTTGAACTATAAAACTCTAGGAAACAGTACTGGGCAGACAGAAACTACAGTCACAGCGTTTGCCTTCTCTTGCCCTCAAGGAAGGGCTGGGGAGGGCACAGCTTACCCGGCCTCCCTTTTAGTCTAGATGCCCTTTTCATCTTTGGCCACAGAGAGTCTCCTTCTTGATCTCAGATCAGCCTTTCAAACCTGTGCTTGAACTTCTGCATTAATTTGGTCTCTTCAAATGCAGCTGCAATCCATTTTCTTTGAATTTTCCTTCCTTTGCTGAATTTGTTAGACTCAGACCCAAAGTCCCTTGAGGCAGGAATCTTTTTATCCCCTATAAAATTCTTTTGAGTGGTCATGTGTTGGTATCAGAATCTAAAACTAACTCTATTTATAAAGTTGGGATTTCCCCCCTAACTGGTGTGAAATGCCCTGAAAAGTCATACCCAAGATGGAGAGATGGATTGATTAGGCTATATTTGGTCTCCTTATTACCTTCTTTATATGAGTATCAGTCAAAAGCTGGAAATCAGTTCCCATTAATTACCAAATTAAGAATACCATCAGATTGCATCTGAAACCTACAGCATTTTCCCTGCTTTTCTATACCTCACCTATCTGCTGTCTCCACCAATTTGTTGAAAAGCAATTTGTTGAAAAGCAAGTGATGATTTAGTGCTAATTTTTAGTCCGTGACTTTAAAAGTTCATAGAACCCACTTTCACAGTGGAATATGTCATTTGGGACCATCTGAATCCATGTTCCCATTCTGAAGTCACTTCAATTTGGCTTAGAATAAACTATCTCATGTTTCCTATGAAGCATCAGTATCGTTTGCCTCTACAATGGCTAATGTTCTGCAAGGAGGGGAAGCAATATGGGTTAAGGACATGGTGTATTTTTATTTTAGACATGGTCTCATTGCTGGCCTAGGACTCACTATGTAGGCCAGGCTGGCTTCAAACTCAACAAGCTGCCCCTGCCTCCTGTATGCTGGGATTTAAGGAGTGCACCACCACTGCCTGGCAGGGACATAGTATTTTATATATACAATATCCAGCAATATATGTCTCAATACCCTGCAATAAAATCTTTTTCTATTTCATAGAAGATACTCTAAGAGAAAGTGGCTTGGTTAAACCCAAGGTTTGCTGATAGTAAACTCTAATGTCTTTTCTTTATACTATTTGCCTCATATATATACTGGGAACCACTGGGACATATATTCTATTGATTCAGCTCCTTAACTCCTTTGCAGTTTCAACACCATTTAGACCAAACTCTATGATGGGCTAAGGACAAGTGTATTCCTGACTGGGTATAGTGGCACAAGGCTGTAATCCCAGCACTCAGGAGAAAGAGGCAGGGGGGTTTGTGTGAGTTCACAACCTGCCTGCTCTACAGGGTGAATTTCAGGACAGCCATGGCTATGTAGAGAGACCATGTTTTGAAGTGAAATCCTATCTCAAAAAATAAAAATACAAAAGAAAGAAAGCGCAAGTGTATCAAGTGTATTGAAGATGTATGGGCCAATAAGATAACTTGAAGTAATTAGGACTCCACATTAAATACATTGAGCATGAATCTTGGGTGGTATAATACAGCAGAAATTCTCAAATGGTCTTGAATCATGGTGCTGGCAGACTGAAGAAACAGCCATGGTTCTGTTTAGTGCACATTCATGTTCTCCTATCTCATAAGAACTATTTTAAAAACATGTAGCATGAAAATAATTTTTTTTTTACTTCATGTTAACATTATCACAGTTACTTTACCAATGGAGGTGTGCATCTGCTGGCCAGCACACCACAACTTAAGCCTTGAAACAGGACCGCTGTGTCCCGTCCCTTCCTTGCTCTGCCTCGATTCTCATTTGATATTTGCTTTTTATCCACATCAGCGGCCAAAATTCTGTTTTCAACAAATGTACGGTATCATTGAAAATACCACATAAACTAATGTTGAAGTGGGTGATTTTCATTTGTGGGTGGTGTGTGTAGCTCACTGCATGTGTGAAGGAGGTCAGAGGATGACTTTTGGGAGTTGGGTTCTGGAAACCAAACTCAAGTCATCTGCTTTGGTGGTGAAGGTCTTTACTCATTGAGCCACCTCACTGGCCCCAAAATGGAACTGTTGTGAGCTAGCAGTTTGCATGGCATTTGGTAAGTGGTGTTTCTTTCGGAACTGGAGGCACAGTGAACTCCCTGTGGTTCCCAGGGTACCCTGGAGATCAAGCAAGCCCCTTGATATGCATATTCATGTCTGTTGCATACACTCAAGATACGCCTGTAGTAATTCAGAATGGTTTCTCCAGGCAAGCATGCTGACGGACCTAGCGTTTTACACTTCACCTTTGCTCAAGGTTGAAGAATGTCCCCCCCCCCATCACTTCCCTTCACTCCCTCTCTTCCATTCTTCATTTTTAACTATTTGTTTTATGTCAAACCTCTTAAGGTTTCCTTTGTAACTTGAACTTTCCTTCCATGGTATCTTTTACACACACAAACGCTGACCCTGGACTGAAGTCAGCAGAGAGAACAGGCCTGTCGATGCAAGCATGTGTTGGACATCTGTTTATACATTTTCTCAGCATAGAGTGCGTTGTTTTTTACTAAATTCTTACATTCTCAAGTGGACCATTTCATGTTTGGTGAAACAGGGAGTAGGAAGGAAGGGACAAAGGGAGGAAAGAAAAACAAAAATCACTTGATAGCCAACCCTTTATTTAAAACTTGTATAGAGTTCTGGAATATGACGTCACAGTTTGGAGGCTGGGCTCGCCTAGGGTCCAAGCATCTTCACAGTCAGTCCTAGGTGTATATGTTAGCATGGGTCAAGTTGTGGTCAAAGGTAAGATGAGGGAGCAGGACAGTCCAGTACTGGGGCTTTGTATTCAAACTGTGTTCCAGTTGTGCCTCTTCTTAGTTGCTCTGTGCACTTTGGGCAAGACAGTCTTGTGAGCTCGCTAGCTTTCTTCTCAGTTTGTTTTTTTTCAGAACTGAACAGCACTGGTAATGTACCCTCATCCCAGCACATTATGAGAGTGAATGGCTGTCCCAATCCTTATGATTAAAATAGGGCTGGGGTCCACTGCAAGGAGCTGGCAGAGAGAGGCCTGCTGAAGACCTCAAAGGTACAGAGGAAATGCAGAACTGTTGACTTCCTACGGCCAGCTCGTGGGTCAGGAATAGGCCCAATCAGTTCAGTGGCTGTGACAGCTGAACTCAAGCAAATGCTGTGATGCAGCCATTCCACTCCTTGGTATACATTCAGCACACACTTCTTTATGTATGTCATAGTATCTTTATAGTAGCATGGTACAAAACGAAAAAGGTCAGAAACAAATATAGAATGGGTAAACATCGGGTATTTTTGGACAGCAGAAAACGGCAATAAATGCTAGCGAATCACTGCTGCATGTGACAATTGGAATGAGTTTCACAATGCTGAGCAAAAGGTAGACGTGAAAAAGTTTGTGTTTATGTAAATGCCATAAACAGGGAGTGTTACAGTTTGTCACATCTGTGGTGGGGTTAATGGGTGGGAAGTTGTCAGAGTGGCCTCCTGGTGTTGG